AAATCCTCAATTACTTCAGAACTGTTTTTATACTGATGATTTTCAGCCTTGCGTCTAATATCTGTTATCAAAAACGAGTCATCAAGTTTTATATCAAATGTTATTTTTGGCTTACGTAATAAAGGTAAAACATATTCATCATAATATTCCTTTTGATATAGTTTTAGAATCTTCACCAAAACAAATGGAGAAGTCATTAAATATGCATATCTATCACGTGCTTTTTCAAAATTACTTTTTGCATTTTCTGTTAAACTGCAGAAGTTATAAACGTTGTCGTATGCTTCATTAATTAAATGATTAGGTAACGAATTAATTGCTTGAAACAGTGTGAATAATGTAACTTCTTTTTCTAAATTCATGTTTCCACCGTCATTATGTACTTCAAAATCACACATGCCATCAACTATGCTCTGAGCAAGTTTATCGTCAATGTTTACATCTTTGTTTTCATTCATGATAGTCTTTATTTCTTCGTTCTTCTGTTCAACTCTTACCTTAATATTCAAATCATTTAATATATCATTCACTGTTCTAGTTAATGTTGAATCATAACTTCCACGAATGAATGAGTATGTATTGATTGGTTCTGTTGCATTCTTGCGAACTCTTGAATCAGCCATAACCACTAATGAACGCTTTGAATCATCAATAGAAGTCATTATGTCAATATCATAATCATTGCAGGAATAACATTTAATCATTCTGTTCGAGGTTGAATAGAAGAAATTAGTGTTGCAATAAATGTGAAGACCTCCCGAAGCGGTTTTAACGATAACATCTTTATCTGAAAGTTTTGATAAAATATCTTTTCTAACTGTTTCTTTAAGTTCATCATCGTATAATTTATTGATATCAACATCTATAATCGTTAAATTTGAAATTTTATTTACTAATAAAGCCATACCGGTTTTCCTTCCTCTTCCTCCATCATGTTTGAGGTAGTTGTGTAAATCAATCATGTTTTCACCAATTCTTTCGTTGAGGGTTTTAGTTTCTGTCATAATTAATTCCTCAACTAATGAATCAATAACTTTTTCATCAGAAACGATATAGTTGCTGTTGTTGTTTGTTGCCGTCATTTATATAGGAATAAAAAAATAAAAATAATTTTAAAACTAACTTTATTTTTGGGCTGCATCAAATTTCCAGTGATGTTGTCAAAATGTCATGTTGTCTCATTTTTTCAGAGAAGTTAATTTACCTGGTAGCACATGGTAACATGGTAGCACCTTCAGTTCTTCAAAAATAATTCATAAATGCCTTCCTCCAGTGATGTTGTCAAAATGTCATGTTGTCTCATTTTTTCAGAGAAGTTAATTTACCTGGTAGCACATGGTAACATGGTAGCACCTTCAGTTCTTCAAAAATAATTCATAAATGCCTTCCTCCAGTGATGTTGTCAAAATGTCATGTTGTCTCATTTTTTCAGAGAAGTTAATTTACCTGGTAGCACATGGTAACATGGTAGCACCTTCAGTTCTTCAAAAATAATTCATAAATGCCTTCCTCCAGTGATGTTGTCAAAATGTCATGTTGTCTCATTTTTTCAGAGAAGTTAATTTACCTGGTAGCACATGGTAACATGGTAGCACCTTCAGTTCTTCAAAAATAATTCATAAATGCCTTCCTCCAGTGATGTTGTCAAAATGTCATGTTGTCTCATTTTTTCAGAGAAGTTAATTTACCTGGTAGCACATGGTAACATGGTAGCACCTTCAGTTCTTCAAAAATAATTCATAAATGCCTTCCTCCAGTGATGTTGTCAAAATGTCATGTTGTCTCATTTTTTCAGAGAAGTTAATTTACCTGGTAGCACATGGTAACATGGTAGCACCTTCAGTTCTTCAAAAATAATTCATAAATGCCTTCCTCCAGTGATGTTGTCAAAATGTCATGTTGTCTCATTTTTTCAGAGAAGTTAATTTACCTGGTAGCACATGGTAACATGGTAGCACCTTCAGTTCTTCAAAAATAATTCATAAATGCCTTCCTCCAGTGATGTTGTCAAAATGTCATGTTGTCTCATTTTTTCAGAGAAGTTAATTTACCTGGTAGCACATGGTAACATGGTAGCACCTTCAGTTCTTCAAAAATAATTCATAAATGCCTTCCTCCAGTGATGTTGTCAAAATGTCATGTTGTCTCATTTTTTCAGAGAAGTTAATTTACCTGGTAGCACATGGTAACATGGTAGCACCTTCAGTTCTTCAAAATAATTCATAAATGCCTTCCTCCAGTGATGTTGTCAAAATGTCATGTTGTCTCATTTTTTCAGAGAAGTTAATTTACCTGGTAGCACATGGTAACATGGTAGCACCTTCAGTTCTTCAAAAATAATTCATAAATGCCTTCCTCCAGTGATGTTGTCAAAATGTCATGTTGTCTCATTTTTTCAGAGAAGTTAATTTACCTGGTAGCACATGGTAACATGGTAGCACCTTCAGTTCTTCAAAAATAATTCATAAATGCCTTCCTCCAGTGATGTTGTCAAAATGTCATGTTGTCTCATTTTTTCAGAGAAGTTAATTTACCTGGTAGCACATGGTAACATGGTAGCACCTTCAGTTCTTCAAAAATAATTCATAAATGCCTTCCTCCAGTGATGTTGTCAAAATGTCATGTTGTCTCATTTTTTCAGAGAAGTTAATTTACCTGGTAGCACATGGTAACATGGTAGCACCTTCAGTTCTTCAAAAATAAAGTATTATTGAATAACCTGAAACCATTAACGGAAACATAACCGAGCGTCACCCGGTAACATGGTAGCACCTTCAGTTCTTCAAAAATAATTCATAAATGCCTTCCTCCAGTGTTGTTGTCAAAATGTCATGTTGTCACCATTTTTAAAAGAAATTAAATTACCTGGTAGCACCCGGTAACATGGTAGCACCTTCAGTTCTTCAAAAATAAAGTATTATTGAATAACCTGAAACCATTAACGGAAACATAACCGAGCGTCACCCGGTAACATGGTAGCACCTTCAGTTCTTCAAAAATAAAGTATTATTGAATAACCTGAAACCATTAACGGAAACATAACCGAGCGTCACATGGTAACATGGTAGCACTGAAAAAATTAAATTTGGATTGAGTTTAAAAATTCATCTTTATTAAATTCATCTCTTCCAACCAATTTATTTATTCTAATAAATTCTTTTATTTTTGCTTCACTCAGTTTAAGGATTGAACGGTAAGTTTTTAATTTTTCGATTATTTCTTTCCTCTCTTGATCGTTTTCAGCCCCACCACATTGCAGCTTCTTTTTATAATAGCATATTTTTGATTTAATTTTGTTTAGTTTCTTTTTATATTCATCATCTAGACTCTTGGCTGCTTCGTTGTCACTCATTTCTTACGAAATAAAATAATTAAATATTATTTAAATATAATGGAGTAATAAAATAAATCGGAATTTCTATTAATTTATTGTTAACCTCTACTAATGCATTACCGTTAATATATCTAACAAATTCAGCTATTGTGTCAAATCTTCGTCTTCTTTTTGTCATTGATTTATCAGTTTTTCCATAATCGAGATGAATCAAAACTTTATCCCCTTGTTTAAAATTCATGAGCCCTGAATTAATTTGTTCACGTTTAACATCATTTAACCTTTCCATTTGCTTTCTAATATATTCCCATTCTTTTGAAATATCATTTTTCATTTCCACCGGTTTCATGTTTATAGTTCTATGCCATGTATTATTGTAATAATATACTAACTGCTGTATGATGGAGTCATGATTTCCATCCCAGTATATCCGACCGTTAACCCCTAACGCATCTCTAAGAGTTCTCATTACCGCATCAACTATTTTATTATGAAACGTATATGGAGAGGATGAAAAGAAAAAATTAATTTGTGGGAAATAATGAGCCATAGCTGCCTGAAATCCTTTATCACCATCACCCCTGATATTATCTACTCTTTCATGATCTAGTAAGTATTGAATAGCTCTTCTTGTTTCCTGTTCTGTTTTCCTTTTCACTGGAATGCAATATAAATATCTGGTGTTAATGTTAATGGTGAATAAATAAGTAACGTTTCCTTTTGAATATTCTAAATGATCGATTTCGTATGAATATGGATGTGGTGCAAATGAGGGGCGACTAAATTTTTCCTTTAACGGTTGAATTTTTGGGTCAATTGGTTTATTTAATATCTTGAAATCCTTTTTAAAATCTTTTTGCTTCTTAAATGTTTGAAATGGATATAATAAAGTGAATGATGAAGGATTAACTGAAGGAGGAGGAGGTACTACTGTTGGAGGTTTTGGTGTTGCATGTGGTTTAATTTTATCTGCTTTGATTTTGGATTTCATTCCTCCTTTCATTAATTCTGGATGTATTTTATTCATTTGTTTTAAATATGCTGTATATAAAGGTTTGATATGCTTTCCCGCTTCGAGTTTATGTTGAAGGATGAATTCCAAAAGTTGATCTTCATTTAAAAGTCGGGCTGAATATGATTTAACTAACGAATCATAAATTAAAGCTTGTGCTTCATTTATGGTCTGAATGACCTGGGCGTTTTGCACCTTTGTTTTTTGCGGCTCAGGATTATATAAATTATATAATTCATCAATATCTTCTTCTGTTAATACTTTATTTTTGAAATCTTTCAATTGTTTAAGTTGTGATTTAGTTTTTCCCTTTGCATATTCATTATTTTTAATTTTGTCTTTAATTTTAGAAATTATTTTATCATGATATTTCAAAATTTCATTTTTATAATATGGATAATAATATTCCATATCATCACCCGTTATATTGTTATTATGTTTTTGGAGATATGATTTTAATTCATAATAAGTAAGAAAATTTTGATTAAATACTAAATCATCAATTAAAATTTTTAAATCTACATTATCCATTTATATAAAAATAAAATAAATGTTTTAAGGGCACCCACCTCTTTGATCAAGAATCACCTCATTATTAACGGTTCCTTTTGTCTCTTCTGTGGCATTTCGTTAAAAATAAAATTTTAAATTATATTAAATAAATGGCATACAACATCCATTTTCACAACATACAGCCTTAGTGTGTGCTCCTGTTAATGCAGTCTTACCGATTGTTAAGCGAGTCATTGACCCGTTTTGAAGTTGTAAATTAATATTCTGACCATCAAATATCACTTTATCATTTATTATATCCAAATAATTTTTAGGTGTTAATTGTTTATTTTGTCGTAAACTAACACCTTTCATTTTTTGTGCAATCTTTTTAAAATCACTTCCACCCATTGAACCGTTGAATGATGTATAACACTTGGGGCATAAAGCAACCATGTTATCGCCTTGTTTCTCAATTGCTAAACCCAATAACTTCTTCTCATGTGCTTTTTCTTCAGCTTTATTCTTTAATTTAGGTTTAAATTTCTCATCAAAACAGAAGAAATCAAATGGTGCGAATTTGAAAATGTTTTTATCATAAAATTTTTTATTGGTTACAATCGCCTGAAATGCTTGAGTGTTAGGAAGATTTGGATCGCCAGCAATAGCCCAATAAGATGAATCAGTATCACCTTCAATGAAATGAAAACGATTAACATTCAAGCATTTATACATAAAATCATAAATGAAAACCAAATACCAGTATTTAGCATTATCTAAAGTAAAGAATGCCTCTTGTAAACATGTTTCATATCTATAAAATCTATCTTTGAGCATCATTTGATACGTATCTTCACCTATTTCTCTTATGTTTTTAAACTTATTTGACATACATGCAACGCGTGCCTTCTGTGCATTCATTATTTTAGTCTTTGCGTAATTTTGTGTATTCATTGCATCGTAACCATATGATCCATTAAGTGAAATCTTGCAAAATAAACTTTTTCCTTTATTTCCTTCTAATTCAGCCTTTTGTCTTTCGTTCATAAATTCGTTCGCAAATTCATTAAAGCAAGTGTTTTTAGTAAATGTTAAAATTGATTGAATGTCATCAATGATAAAATGAAATCTGTCTATTAGATACCAAAGATAATAAGATGAAAATGGTTGATATTGGTTGTGTGTTGATGCTAACTGAGTTAATTTTCTCTGTTTCTGGTCAACTGGTAGATTGTTTGATTTCATGTAATTATACATAAAACTGCCAATTGTTTTTTCATCTGTGATAATATCTAAGTTTCTTATTATCGGTAAAAAGTTTATGTAATCATTAATGTATTTTTCATCAATGTGACCCTTTACTTCAGCCACGAATAAAGTATTTTTCTTTCTAATAATTCCCAATGCTTTTGCTTTCTTTGTTGCTGTATCACAAATGATAACACCATTCAATCTTCCCGGCATATACATTTTATGGTCAGTATATTGAATGAAATCATGAGGATTAGATGAAAATGATGAAGGATATAATGAATTAAAATCAACACCAACGAAATGAGTCATGATGTTGGTGGTGTCCTCATTTGATACAGTTTTAGTTTCTGGATTATATGAAAGTTTATTAATGTGCGTGATTCCTTTAAGATTAACACGATGTTGAACATTTGATAAACCACCAGTAATTCCATTACGGAGAATGTGATAAGCTTCAACCAAATCTAAAGTCATTGGTAAATTATTTTTTAATGCATAATTTCTTAAATTGATTCTTAAACGTTGAACATCTTCATCTTTATTTGATTTTACGACATTGCAATAACAACACATTAACTGACAATTTTCTTTGGTATGCGGTTTTTCATTATCGATTCTATCCAATGTTGGTTTATTTGCATATGTAAACGCTTTACCACACATTTTGCATTTAGATGAAAGGATTAAATTGTGATAGTATTGAAAATCATCCATTGAAACATTATTTTTAGTATCCCTTTCTGCTTTTTCATCTTGTTTCTTATATGATTCAAAATTTCAAAAATAAAGGGGGTGGTTAGTTTGAAATCTATTCCTCAATCAAGAATCACCTCATTAATGAAAATAGATGATTTTACAAAAAGAATAGAAGAGATTGAAGAAAGAATGAATCAAATAATTGATTTCATAAATTCAAATAATCATTAGTTTTTAAAGTTTCTTTTACTCGTTTATGAGGTCTTTGATTATGACTCCATTGATTCCATTCATGATTTAAACACTTGTTTTAATTAATTGTGGAATATCTAACATCATCTATATATATATAGCTTCTTTTATAAAAGATAAAATATATTTTTTTATGTATGGGTTGAGTGTAAATGTCTTACAATTTTGAACATTTTTAAATATTGATTTATTCTAAAACGTAAGAATAAAAACCGTAAGAATCATACATTTTTTACTTCATATGTCAAAAAAAATGATACAAAATCGTTCAATATTGTATGAATTCTTACGTTTACAAAAAAAGTCACACAACCCGCTCTCATATACTACTATACAAACAATAAAAATGGCATAGTATACAATATTTGCATGTAAACTCTATTAAAGGTATTTAACTTTTATTCTACATAAAAACTGAATATTAAACAAGCTCGCAACAAAAAAATAATATTCAAAATATTTTTCAAATATTATAGGTGTCATTAAGAAGTAAATCTTCTGGATATTCCTGTGGTATCAAATCCAATTGATCTATCTCGTGAAATTCGAATATATCAAACTCGGCCTTTTCATCTGTTTCATTTTCTATTTTTGGAACAATATTTTTACTCTTTTGAGACTTCCTACGTGTGGAGTACGCTTCCATGCACAACCCATAAACATTATCAACATTTGCGTTTCTTCTCATTAATTTTCTGTATTGAGATTTAAGCATCACGTCAGTTCTATTTTTCATTAGTGCTGCGATTTTCTTCCACTTTTTGCCTAATTCATCAACTTTTTGCAATAAAAAGTGATTTTCGTCTGGAGTGAAATCTTTATGGTTCACTCTATTGTCGAGGTAGTTTGTCCATCTATCTTTACATTGTCTCGCATTTCTTGATTGCATTTGCTGAGAAATGTAAGTCCAATTTATATCTTTTTTCCTGGAAAAGAATTTCACAAGATCTGTAAGCTTCTTATCTTCCTCTGCTGTGAATGGATTCTTGGTGTTTTTTGTTTGCCTCTCAGTCAGTGCTTTATCCATCAATAAAATAAATACAATGAAAACCTAACGCTTTTGAATTTTATTGAATAGATAAATTCCCCTCAAATTTCTAATACCAACAATGGACGATTGTTGCATATTATGCGGAGTTACATCATAGCCCCGATTAATTGAATGGTTTATCGGTTCAATCTTCTGAAAAATCGCGATAAAATTTTTCACATTTTTATATGATTTGACATCATTTTTCTGAGGAATTTAGCTACATATCCTTTAGTATATAATCGAAAATTTCATAGTGATCTAAATTAATTTGACAAAATGGCCAAATGTTTCATAAAATTCAATTGATAATTCAAAGTTTCCAAATTTTTGGATTACTGTCATCCTAAAAAAATGAAATATGGATTACCCCTAGTTATTTTTCTTGAAATTAAGTCCGTACAGTACAATAACACGCTTCTTAGTTTATCACCCACTTTCGGAAATCTAAATTCCAAAAAAAATTATTCATTATGCAATATTACAATTGTAATGAAAATGTATCATTAAATATATTGCAAATGTATTATTTCAATGATTATCAGCTTCAAAATTGTAATGGGCTTAATATTTCGTACTTGGTAGAAAATGTTTCTCATTCTCTAATTCAGTAATCTAACGTTATTATAAGTTTTATTGATTCATTTATATGTATTTGTCGAGTATATACCAAATTTCCTTTACGAACAAAAATAATTTATACAAAAACTTCTATTATTAGATAATTCAATCATTAATTAATGATTCAAGATATGAATGATATTTGCAATTTCATCTTTTTCAAAATATATTTTGATGATCAAGATTTTTTTGATTTTTGACTATTTTGTCTCATTGTTTAAATTTTAAAATATGTTGGCATGTTGTGTTATTGTGTGTTTGTTTTAAGAATGGTTTGCCAGCATGAATCTATTCATACTGTGACTACCAATCGAAATGATGTTATGATAATATAAATGTACACGCAAATCATTGTTATATATGTTATTTTCAAATATATCCTATCCATGAAAATATTGAATTTATCCTTGATTCAAAATAGAATTCTTGCGTTTGTAATCACAAGTTTCACGTTCAGACAGTATATGTGTCCTATCCAATAGCTCCTATTCTCATGGAAAATCGGAAATGGTCATCAAGTCTTACCGAAGTCGAATTTGAAAAACTGTGAGTTAAAAATATTTTCCCTATATATTATTAAAACATAATTCATATTTTGCAAATAATCCAACCTCTTTGTGAAGTTTACAAAATCTTTGTTACAATGATTTCGTTGTTTCCCTATCTCACGTCATCAGTTAATCATACCGTGATAAGCGGAACAACAGCTACTGTAATTATTTCAATATCTGTATTAATTATATGCGTTTTACTTATTGCTGGTTGTACATGTTCAAAGAGCAATCGACAGGATGATCAAGATATGGGTTCAGATAATGGAGATGTAGAGAATGAACGCAAAGAGTTAAAGGCAAACCTTATTCCACCATTATTCTTTACCCAAGGATTAAAAGATCCTCTCCAACAAGATGATCTCCTTGAAAAAGTAAAACAAGATGGTGTTACAGAATGACCAATGTTTCATATAATGTTATTTTTTTGTTATAAATAAATTTGTTAATTTAATATACAGTTTATTCCAAAACAGATAGATTTTTCATTTATTCTGTTAAAGAAGAATAAATGCGCATTATCTCAATCATTGTGTTTTGAAGATAATTATGAAAATTATTTTTATTGTTAAATTTCGATGGACTATAGTTGCCAATATCCATGAATAGGACTTAGAAGCTATGTTGTAGTCAAAAGTTTTTTTAAAATTACTATCTTGAACAACAACTCATAATAATGATATGTTTGTGATAGAGTTGTGAGTCACAGTTATGGAAATATGAAACTGTTCGAATAGAGTATTTGAAAATTGAAACTGTAATCACTTTATAAAGAGAAAAAGGAAAAAAAATTAAAAATTTATATCAAACAAAATCTATTTTACAAACAAAAATCGAACAAAATTAAGCGGAGATTGGTGAAGGAACCATGAAAATTGGTGATCTTGGGAGACTCATTTCCTGAACCTTGTTGAAATGAATCCATCTTTCTGCGAAGACACGTGAGTTTAAGTTATCAACTGGTCTGCTGAGCAATGATTCGATGTCGAGAGAATCATTGGAAGCTTTGACCTTGATATCTGGGAAGAATTGCTTGTTGAGAACAACTTCGCCTGGCATCATAGACTTTGAGATGATTCCAACAACTTCAAGGATGTGAGAAATCTGATAAAGCTTGCACAATGTTGTTTTCAGGCGGTTGTTATTTCTTGAGAGGAAGGCACTGATTTTCTTGATGTCAAGTGCTGGGCGATTGAAAGCAATGAATGAAAGAAGGAATTGTGTGGAAAGATTTGAGATTGTGACTGAATCACTTGTCTGGAAAATGTCATCAATGTTAGCATCGGCATTTTGCTGATTAACTTCGTTGCTGAGATTCTGTAAATGTGTTTTAACATTGTCCATACCAAGCCAAACGAAGCAATCAACATTTGTCTTTTGGCAGCATCCAGCAGCTTCAAGAACGTTGACTACATCATAGAAACGTCTTCTCTGGAATGCAAAGCGTGTGCATAATTGTGTAATTGTGTAGTTTTGCTTTGCTTCATGTTCAAGTGTTTCAACTAAACTAATGATTGATGTTCTGAAGTTATCTGTGTTCTGTTGGACACCGTAGTGGACTGGGATGACTTGCATGATTGATGCTGGTTGATAGTAGTAGAAGTTCATGATGAAAAATGATATTGATTTGATAGAAGAGATAGCTCACAAAAATTGTGAAACGATATTTCGCTAGTTCACAATTTTTCTTAAGTTTACTAACGCTGAAGTATTCAAAATTCATCCTAGCGTTTTCAAAATTGAATGTATTATCCATGATATTGTTGCCAAATTACAAATCATGATTCTTATTATAAATGCAACATGATTTTAAAATTCTTTGAGTTTTCATCATTCAAATAAATTTTGTGGTGAGATAGATAAAATTCAAAATTTTGAAAATTTAAAAAATTAATAGTTACAATATATATATTAATATGTGTTTTTTATCAAAAAACCAATTCAATAAATTATTCTTTTATCTTACTCACAATGTCGCAGGTACTTTTCAAAGCTATCTTTCCAATTGAATACTCTAGCGTTTTTTACTTTTTTTGCATATCTAATGTTTTCTTATATTGTCTATCATTTTTACAAATTTCATGATTATTCGAAATTTTACTATTTTCACTTATTATGTTTACACTTAATTTAGTGCGGTATTTCCAATTCCATTTCCTTATTTCGAGTTAAAAAATGTTAAATTTCTTTTCAATAATTTTAAATTCTTCAATACTGTTCCATTCAATTAGCTCGCTTCTTGTTTATATATTTACCACTCAGTCATTCTTAATAATTACACTTTTATTTCTATTTTAAAATAAATCCTCATTATAGAATCTCAATATTGCTTAATTCCCTTTATGCAAAGATTAGTTACGATCGAACTAGTTTTCAGTGAAGTTATTTTAAATTTCCCTATTGAAATTTCAAAACAGTATGTATTTATTTAATATTCTAGTTCGGACATCTCTAATCGTATTGAATTTTTAATTCTTTAGCGTCTAATTTGTTATTGTTATATTTGCAAACAATTGATCAAATCGTTTCCTTATTTGTATTACTTCAGCATCACTAATAATTATTTACTGTGTCCTTTTGTAAGATAAAAAATCAATTGGTAATGAAACTGATAAATTATATTCATTATCAAGATAATATCATATATTGTTTTTTAGCCCTAGTGGAATGCAAATAGATTATATCCTCCTATCACTTCTATTAGGTATTATTGGTGGCTAAAATATACTATATTTTAATCTTGAACTAAGTAAGCAATTCAATTCAGTAGAAGTGTCTAATACAAATTTTTCTATTTGGGTATGATTTCTAAGAGCAGTTTTGTGAACAAGATAAATGAATAAAGCAGCCGCATTGTGGGTAAGATAAAGCAGAGCAAATTTGTTCAAATATCCATTTTCAAGTATCTTATTATCAACTTCTTTAATTCTTGTTCAAACTGTAACTTTCAGTTAGCATGTTAATGAAAGAGACTTGTTTTGTAGATGTAGGACTAATCATATCAATGCTAAAGACTTACAACTTTTTTTCTTTTTATTAGCTTCGAAGAAATGATATTGCTTAATGAAGTTGGGTAGCTGTGTTGGCATGATAGTAACTTAGAAACTCCATATATGGTGTACAGTTTATTAAGTTTCTTCAAATAAATATAAGAATATCAGCGTAATTGAAAATAACAAAAAATCAAAAAGCAGGTTTCCAAATAAGCATTTGATGGAATATACAGGTAATTTGTTACTCATGAAATTTGCATCAATATAAGGCTTAAAATCATCTGCTTAAAGACTAGCAGTAATACTATATATTTTACGCTTTTCAAATATACTAATTAAATATCTAGAGACAATTGAGGAATTCAATGAGAAAAATATTTTCTGTTTGAAAAGAATTAGTCTTCGCTTTATTTTAACAAAGGATTGAATACTAATATGTATATTGCATTTAATTTGGTTTTTTAGTATTATAAATCTAAGAAATGTTATCATACGTTCCATCATATATAGTTAATTGTATGTCGTAGTCTTAATCGATTTTTATCATAAGAAAATAAAAATATGTGAATGAATTATATCATTTTATTAAGATTCGCCAGAAAATATGTTTATCTTATATGGAGCGATATCAATTTTTGACCAGTTAAAGAGAGAGGGTCAAAGTTGCTATTTGTCACTTTTCCACAAGAATATAATGGGGAAAAAGTTATCATATAGTTGATCTCATTCACTGAGGTGAGAGATGCATGTAGTGTAATTTGATAAACAGTGGGATTGCTGCTCTAAGTCCTAGGTTCGAGACACATTGGCTTCATTTTTCTCTTTTTTATTGACGTAAACTATTCAATTTTTGTGTTCTCCATTCAAATTTCAGAATTTTTTTTGCAGATTTCACGCTACATTCGAAGTTACCTTTTGTAACAACCACCACTGCCTACGAAAGACGAAAGTGTGTCACGATTTCACCCGGAAATCCGACGGTTGTTTAAGAGTATGCACTTTTGTCACCTACTCACCAGTTAAATGCCTGTAAAAGAATAATTTATATTCGAAGAAAGGGAAACTGTTTGTTTATAATTTTGTGCATCTCGAATAGTCTAAGCTGTTGTGCGGTATTAATCTAGAAACTGTTTGAAAATTCAAAATATCATTACAAAATATTGAGATCGAATGAGTATATATATGGATTGATCAAAACAGATATGATACGAAATGGCTATCATATAGAAATTATATGTTATCGATGTCAATTAAAGGAATAAATTATCTTCAAGGCTTCCTGAATGATTATTAAGCAGGTAGGAAGAACCTATTGTTTTGATGGAAATAATACATGACTTAACACAATTAATTTAACTTTTTTGTTAACCCCTATCTTGAATAATTTTCATAAAATTTTGGAATCATAAATAATTGGTGAATTGAACAATATTATTTTCATAAAATAAATAAAATTAAAAATTCTCAGAATTTGAAGTTGGTAGAATATTGATGATTGCAGTTCATATTCGAAGTTGTCTTTACTGATAATATTACATCTATACAATATTTTGAAAGTGCATTCAAATCATTAAAATTCAATAAATGGATCGACTTTTACCTTCAGGTGTCCCACCTCATGCCGGGACTGTAGGAGGCAAATCAAAATTTACTCCTGAGGAAGACTTAAAGCTCAAACAAATAGTTGAATCTCAAAAGGAGCCAATTTCTTGGAAAGAAATCTCTCGGTTAATGGTTACAAGGACCCCCAGACAATGTAGAGAGAGGTACAAAAATTACCTTAGTGATAGTATAAAACACGAAAAATGGTCTGATTCAGAAGATGTTTTAATCATGCAACTGTTTAGCGAGTATGGAAACAAATGGAATATAATTTCTAAGTATATACCAGGGAGAACTAGTAATTCAATCAGAAATAGATGGAAATATCTCAGTAAAAACGAAGTGGCAAATGTAACTGAAGCACCTCCTAAAAATGAAGCACAGCCTTCTGATATGGGTGAGTTACTAAAAATTCAAGCTCCAGAACCTAGTGCTAATAATTCTGCTCCAAGTGTTGGTGATAAAATAATGGATCGATTAATGAATAACATGTTTCCTCAAGGAAAGCCAGCAAATATATTTGAGAGCGATGAAGATATTAGTATATTTGTTAGCTGAAGATTGTTAATTACAGAATTGGAATAATTTTAAAAATTGTTTTCGACTATCAAACTATTAAATGCGTTTTATATTAGCAGAATCAATATCGTATTTTAATTAAAAATAAAATGAGGGGGAAAAAATTGAGGAGAATTTAATTTTTGATCGAAACAGGATATTCTTATTTATCTAATTTAAAATATCGATTATCAATAAATAAAGATAAATAGAATAAATTATTTCAATAAAACCGCTAAAAATAGCTTTTTAGGCATTGAAAATTGTGAATTCAGTTAAAACGATAGAACTAATAATCGTATTATTCTTCATGTATATCATTGTTACAATAAATTTTCGTTTACAAATCCTTCAATGAAGTTATTTTCAGTTAAACCGTTAAAAATAGCTGATAATAATTTCAATTTTGTGATAACTAATTGAATTTATTAATTTTTAAAAATTTTAAGTTATTTTAGTTGTCAGCTATGCCCTTATCAAAAACGAAATATAATTTACGATTAATTACATATTCAATACCATTGAAATCTCAACTTACTACTTTTTTTTTATTAAATCTGAATTTATAGAATTCTAGTTTTGAATTCTTAGATCAAAATTTTTTATCAAAAATTAATTGTGACGCAACTTTGATGAAATGATATCACAGCTGTTAAAATGCCAAATTATTCATATTTAATGACCAAATATGAGCTATGTCCTAATTTCTTTTCTATTTCATTTCGAAATCTTTGACAATTTGAAATTTCTGAACAGAATAGATTTGATATACATACACCAGCTCGCAATGGTTGTTGTGAATTACTAACTTGTTTCTGCTTAATGCATGAGAGGACTCTACACTAGAAATTAACATCATAAGCATCAATGTTTATTTGGCCTTTTGGAAAGTTGAATGATGTTGTAGGGTCTATGAGATACAATAAAATTTTCAATACATTCTATAAAATTGAATTCCATATCCTGTAATTAGTTTTAATATAAATATTCCTAGCACATTCTATTAGTTAATAACAGAACTACTTTTAATGTGATTTCATTTTCATTATATCAGTTGATGAATTTATAATGAAAGAACAAAAAACTGATATTGTACAACTTGGCATGAATTACAGGCATTTCCAATAGATAGATGAAACTGATTTGAGGATAATTTTAAATAAAACCATATTTCAGCATTGATTTGAGATATTTTTTTGTAAAATCTATCAGTAATATATAATTTAAATAGTTTTTATAGAATAATTCATATCTTTTACAAAGAAAGCTATTCATATATCAAAATTATTGCAATGTTTCTGGATCAAATATAAAGTTTTAAAACATATGAGCGTAACAAATACATACTGGATTCTGATGTGGCTATTTCGAACAAATTATTTCAAGTACATCCGTATTTCGTCAATGGAAGTTAAAATGTTTATAAATCTTATGATTTCTTTTTTAAAACTATAGCAGGTCAGGTAAGTGGGGCTTCCAGGCGCGTTGCGCCCTCTAGCCCCGAAGATGTTTAGTATAAATGAAGTTTTTATTCGGAAAATTGTTAGTCTTCTGGTGTGAATTCGGAGGACTCTTCTTGGATAGAGTCTTGTATTTCCTCCTCCATTGCTTCTGGGAAGAAGCCTTCTTCTGGGTCGAAAACATTATATAATGTGTCGCTTTTCACAAATTATATATGTTTTCATGTTTTGTCACTTTTCTGTCACTTTTCGGGTAAAAACATTTTTATTATTATATATAAATGAATTTTACAAACCCCCCGTTACCGTTCTTTGGAAATAAGAGTAGATGTAAAGATATTATATTGAGAGAACTTAAGAAACTACCGAATGGTCTAACATTTGTAGATTTGTTCGGTGGAAGTTTCTATATATCCCATTTATGTCATACAATATTCCCAGACTCAAAGATTATATGCAATGACTTCGACAACTATATGGACCGTCTCAAACATATTCCAGACACAAACAATATATTGAAAGAGTTAAAAGAAAAGATACCTATAGGTAAGATGGAACGTATACCATTAGATAACAAAAATATTGTGAGAGAGGTTTTGAAAAAAGCAGAATATATAGACTGGGATAGTATATCTGCTAGACTATTATATAGTGGTGCTATAAGAGTTCATGACATTGAAACACTTATGTCAAAAGTTTTATATCTTAACTATACAAATGTTTTCAAAGAGAACATAGAAAAATATATTGAGGGTATAGAGTTTGTGAGATGTCATTGGACAGAGTTGTATGAAAAATATAAAGACAAGGAAAATGTTTTCTTTATAGTGGACCCGCCGTTCTATAACACATGGGATTTTCAATACCAAGTAGACTGGACTTTGAGAGACTCTTTAGAAACTTTAGACGTTATACATAACCATCCATGCTTTTACTTTACATCCGATAAAAGTGGTTTGGAAACCGTTATGAGATGGTTAGAGGACATACATGACTATGAGTTTATATATGACAAGATAGAATATGAGAGAGGTCCTATAAACTGGAGAAAGTGTCACAATAAAGAAATTTTATTAGTAAGTAAATGTGGTTTGAAATAGGACTACTTGTTTTAGGTTTTTTCCATTGTGTCATTTATTTATTTGACGTGGCAGAAAAGTACAGAGAATATGAAGATGAACCAATGCCTGCAAATGTTCAGCATATGTACTCGTAAGAGATATTTTTATCTAATATTAAATGGACGCACAGAACTTAGCGAATGCACAGCAACCTGGACAACCAAACCCAGAGAATATTCCAAATGAAGTTAGAATACAAACTGCAATGGCAAACTATGGTCAAGTGCCAACAGATGTACAAATGCAAACTGCCATGTCAAATGACGCTGCGTTAGGTTTGCCACCATGGTATGCAAATATGAGATGGAAAGAGTTTTATACAAACCCTGAAGTGGGATATAAACAACTTTATGCAGATGACGCGAACACAGGAGTTGACCCAGAATATGTTTTCTACCAGAGGAGAAACAGAATGTATGAGCTCCAGTTAAAGAATGCTATGGAACTCAACAGGAAACGTAAGAGACTAGGCGGACATTAGATTTTTACACGTAGTAAATGGGTTTCTTCAGTAGTATTGGAAACTTCTTTCGAAATGTTGGAAGGGGTATATGGAATGGCGTCAAAACCGTAGGAAAAGGAATTTGGAACGGAGTCAAAAATATTGGTAAAAGAGTAGGTCAGTTCGTTGGTATTATACCTAAAGACCCTGAACCAGAAGAGCAAGCTCCTGTTATACAACAGCCTGAACCTGCACCACAGTCTAGTTGGCAACCAAATCCAACACCTCAACCGTATTAAAAAATTATATTTTTACCGTTCGATAGTAGTTGTATATGAAACTAAGTTCTAAGTAAAACGCATGGTATAATGGAATTATTCTTTTTCTTCCATCTGTAGTAAACCATACTTGAAAGTCTGAAATACTTCCACTTGGTGGTTCGTATAACTTTGTAGGTTTTTCGTAAAAGTCATTTGCCAAGCATAAGAAAGAGTTTTGGGCGCCAGAAAATGAAGCATGAACTATCACAGCATCTTGGTCGAAAACATCTTTAAATAAATATGGTTCATCTCTTGCATATCGACTGTAGATATTTGCTAAAGGAGGTTCAACTTTCTGATTTAACATTCTTTGCAAATAATACCATGACATTGCAGTGAATTCTGTATATATTTGTTCGTCTTTATTTGGATTGTCTTCGTAGATTTGAAATGACACTTGTGAATTTTGCTTGTCATATACAATTCTCACATAAAGTGTGCTATTGGTATTCGCATATTCATCAGCATATTTTGCATAACATGAATTTATTTTATCTTCTATATTTTTTAATGCAGCCTGTAGAGAAGATGAGAGGTCAACTTGTATTAGTTCAATTTCTTCCCACATTTTTCGTTTCCCTTCAGATGTATAATCTATATGAAACCTTACAATAAATGGAAAACCTGTTTGAACTTGTGAGACAAACTTCATTCTACGAAAGCCAATAGCTTTTGTGACAGATGGGTCTCTTAACCATCTTAATGGGTAGTCAAAACGATAGCCTTCATGCTTTAGATTGTCTATGTCAACCTTTTGACCGACATTAGTAAAAAGTTCATCTAATGGTTTAGTTGTAGCAACTCTAGAATTTTCTTTTTCTATTGGAAGCATATTTTATCTATAATAAAAATGTCAAATGAAACAGCGTCTATGAGAGAAATACAACACAACCGACAACTCATTATGCAAGCTCTAAATAAGAACACAACAAACTTTTCAAACTATTCTAAGATATCTGAGTCATTGAAAGGGGGTGACTTAAAACTGACATTAAACCCAATGACAGATGAGTTTCTGTTTCAAGACAATAAGAACCATACTGTCTGTATAAATCCAACAAAAGGAACTTTAAACGAGAAACCTATAAATGAACTTCTTTTGAAAACAGATGTTGACAACAAAGCTGACAAAGAATATGTAGACGATGCAATAGCAAAAGAAGAAGAAAGAGCTAACAATGCTTATGCAACAAAAGAACATACTCATCCTGAACTAGCAGACAAAACATATGTTGACAATAAAATGTCAAGTGAAGTGACAAGAGCTGAAAACGAATATTCTAAAAAGACTCATATACATTCTATATCTGATATTACAAACTTACAAGAAACCTTAAACAGTAAAAGTGACGTTGGACATACACATACCATTGCAAATATTACAAACTTACAAGAAACCTTAAACAGGAAAAGTGCCGTTGGACATACACATTCTATATCTGAAATAACAGACTTAAACGTTAGCCTTGAAAAGAAAGCGGATAAGGAATATGTGGCTAGTAAGTTAATGAAGAAGGCAGATAAGGAATATGTGGATGAAAAGGATAATGAAATTAAAGAAAGGGTTGAATGGTATCATGAATGGACATCGAAGATTTTTAAAACTAAAGCTGATACAGGATGGGTTTCAGGATGTTTAGACCTTAAAGCAGATAAA